AGTTAAAAATAATGGTGTAAGTTGAAACTTCACATTTTTATCGTGGTTAAATTTTATCCTATATCTATAGTTGTGTATCATTTCGATTTAGTCTTTGAGAAAAAAAATATAGTAAGTAGGTCAGTTAACACACATTACTGAACGCTTGTAGTATCCTGGTAAAATGCTTAACTTCTCTTTATTGATTTCAAACACAAACATTTTTTTTTCAAAAAGAACACCTAAATATTTGTGCGCCACACAAATCAACGAATTTTGACTGCATTGGGATACTGTCCAGTTGCCAAACCGAAACAACTGACTTTCTTAGGAGGCTACTTCTCGACCCTTTCATCTACAGGTCTAATCCATAAGGCATTGGAGATATTGTCTCGTGGTAGCTTGTCACCAACAATAAGTTCACATACTAATCATTCTATCAAGATCCTGGAGCCGATGTATACCATTAGTTTGGAACGAGGATTTTCCAACTCCTCTGAATCAGTGCCGCATATTCTCCAACTTAGTTTAAGTCCTGGTTCTGATATAAGCTGTTCTTCCTCTGAATATTGTGGAAAACATCTTTGTTTCAAGTTATTGAATGGGACCTCTGCAGCATTGTAGCTATATCTGCATGGTCAAGTGAGAGGATTTTTTTTGAAAAAAAAATAAGAAAGGAAATTTTTTCACTCTCGATCGTACCATGGCATTTGGGGGATTTTTTTCTGTCGCTTAAAAATTCACTATCGACGGGGCAGGTACAACTAGTTATATAATTTAATCCTGTTTATCATCTAGTGTAATGAGTGTATCTTAATCTGAGTTCAGATAGACAGATACAACGCAGAACTACGTACGTAAAGTACATCAGCTCAGGCTGCCATGCGCCCATCAGCACAGAGACGCAACTGTCAGTTCAAATCCAAGAGTGATAGCAATCATAGAAGTATAAGCAGTAATGGAGAAGATTAGGGAGAGAAGATATGATTCTTCTGTGGCAGTGTCTGTCATTGAAAGGTGTACCAGAGAAGTACATTAACCTTATACAAGCACTCTACTCGAACACCACTGGTCGGGTGAGAGTATATGGCGAACTGTCATCTGAATTCTCAACATCAAGTGGTGTCCGTCAGGAGCTGTCCACTCTCTCCATTCTTGTTTAACTTTGTCGTAGACATCCTCTTAGAGTTAACATTAAGCTCGTCAAATTTTTCAGGGGTTGACCTTCTACTAGGAAAGTCGCTTACTGATCTAGGTCTCTAACCATTGATGACTATCGTCTCGCGGACCCCAACCAGGTAGCCTACATCTACCAACATGACTCAGTTCACTTGTCAGTGACTTCATGGATTTGTGCCATGTTTTGGTTTGGCCGCCCCTAACTTTCTTCCAACCTATTCCTACACTACAAAACAAAGCTCGACGAGGCAGTCGGTGGTTAGGCATACGTAACACATGTCCCAACCACCTCAACTGATGAAGTTTCACTACTTCATCTATTGATTTGCCATCCCTACCTAGAACTCGTTCACTAAAGACAGCATTGCTTATACGGTTGTCCCATGATACACGAGCAATGCTTCGGAGACATCGATGATCGAAGACTAGTAACCTACGAAAGTCCTCTACTCTAAACGGCCAAGTCTCGCATCCGTACAGTAGGACAGAGCGAACTGCTGCGTAGTAGTACACTCGTCCTTTGGTTAGCAAATGGATATCTCGCCTGCGCCATAGGTGACGCAGGTTGGCAAAAGCCAATCGAGCCTTCTGTATCCGAGCTGAGATTTCGTCAGTCACCAGTAGTTCACTTATTCTCTATTGTTCTATCTTTATTCCAACGACGCTTGCTTCGTTTGATAGAATGATACTATGTACTATCCAGTTAGGATATGATTTGTTATCTTATCTCTCTCCTTAAAGACTGCACCTTGTCAAGCAGTGGTAGTTGTGTTTTTCTTCCGAAGAATATAAATTTTCAACATTTTATGTATTTAAGAGAAAAACATCTGCAAACTCTATTTGTAGACCTTTCAAGTATCACCTCCTGTTCATTATTTGAAACAACAACTCACATTGGACTTGTTTTCAATTAACATGATATTGATAAACAGCTGACATTTCTGTCACATCAAACTAAACTGGATTCACTTAAAAAAAAGAAATAGAAATCCTATTTTAATTCAATTTCGTATTGGCCAAATTCAAATTCTGAGTTGTAGATTTTTCTCAAAAAAATATATGAATAGTCTTCAAGATAGATGACAGTTACTTACTTACTTACTTACTTACTTACGCCTGTTACCCCCTAGTAGAGCATAGGCCGCCTGGCTAGCGAATTATTTTTTCGGTTAGCGTTTTGTTTTATAGCGAGTTGGATTTCTACGAAATGGTGTTGCTAACCTTATTTTCAACCATCCTCCTTTATCCGTGCTTGGGACCGGCAGCAACCCGTAGAAGTGGTCCTGGTGGAGTTTTTCAATGATAACAGTATTAAAACACAATGAATACTTTCATCCAGTTACTAAATAGAAGAAAAATTCATTTCCGAAAAAAAAACTGAGAAAAAACACTGAATTATTGACGTATTGAACAGCTTAATGTAGGCTTTCTTTGTTTACCGATTAAAGTCTCTTATCAGAAAATCGATGAGACAAATTTATGGATTATACAGCTTTAAAAATCAATTAATTAAACAGAGACAATCTGTTTGGTAAACTATTCTATTTTATTGAATCATGAAGGATAATTAATTAGCTAGCGCAAATCCACAGCTGTTATGATCAAACCAACAAATGTTGTAGCTTTTAAACTCAATAATTAAATGAGTAACTCATTGGCTATTGAAGCGAGATGTACAGATTTGGAATATCGCAGTAAATTCCAACTCTAGGATGTACGTATGTCCAGGTGATGAGTCCCTAATAGAACTGAATGTGCGTCTTGGACTTCATTGCTAGCTAAGTTCTATCTATTTTACGTGCCAATCTATATCTTGATCAACACTTCTTATCATCTAGTCAGGAAGAGTTACTAGTGGAGATAAGAGAGGTATTAGGGGGTGTAGGAAGGATTTGATTTTGACCAATTCGGTCTCGTGTCCTGTTACGGGTATGAGGACGGTTGTCACTTCCCGGCTACCCACACCGTGGAAGGTTGTTTCTTGAGGAACCTGAAAAGGAAGGTATATTAGCGTTGGTCTTAGAGACCTGGGTGCGTGACCGCAGAGCCCAAGGGACAACTGCTTGAGGCCGATCACGCACGGCCTTTTTATTAAAGGTTTTTACAGTATTAGCTCCGCTCTTAAAAACCCTTATCGGGGAGGCCTTACCGCCGGAGAGGGAAATCCGTGAGGTAGGGTGAGGTGTGACATTTTTAGGGTCGACCTTTTCTAACCCTTCCTTCCTTGTGAGAAGGCAGCATCGCTGCAGATGCTGGTTGTCCGAGGGAAACACCCTACTGCTGTCACACCCCTCTTCAGTCAGTCAGCAGTACGACTTCGCCCTCGGACCTTGAGTAGCTGCTTTTAGTCTCATCGTTCTCAAATCGACCTGCCTGGCATGGTAGAACCTTCAGGAACATGTGTTCTAGCCAATATAGCTCGGTTGGGTCATGACGATAGTCAAACCCGACCACCACGTCAAGGTAGCAGCTTTTAAATTTATCTTACTGAATTAAACTTCTCGACTCATATCTTCGCTCCCTAATCTTCTCCATTACTGCCAATACTTCTATTATTGTTATCACTCTTGGATTTGAACTGACAGTTGCATCTCTGTGTGCTGATAGGGCATGGCAACCTGAACTGATGTACTTACGTACGAAGGTATGCGTTGTATCTGTCTGTCATGTAGTCAGGGATATTTCGGCGGCAACTAGTAACTCTGCGCTTTAATTATTTTCGAAATTTAACATTTCATGCTATAAAGCCTTACAAATTAACTCGGAATTAACTATTGATATTTAGTTGAGTAGTAATGTGTTGAAATTAAGTTGACATTTTTTTTCTCTTACATTTTAATATCACAAATATTCTTTGAATGTTTTTTTTCCGCCCTATTTTACAGAATTTACAAATAACAGATCTTGTCAATCTTTTACTGGAAGGCCACAAACCAACTACTGATAGTTTTAGAAGTATCTCCTATGGTGGGTATTCAAGTTCTTATCTTGGAGTTCAAGTACCTGTACAACAACAATATTCAAGTAATTATCATCAAGTTGGTGATTATCTCAATGAATCATTAGCTTCATTACCTGGAAGTCAAGTTCCAAGTGGTCGAGAAAGTCCTGTATCACATTTTGAAATAGACTATGGAAGTAGTAGTAGTGTACGACATCACCACAAGGTAGCTTCAGAAACTGGAAGAATGAGTTCTGTTCAAAATATGATGCGACATATAGCTGGGACTAATCTAGATGGAAGTGGATTGCGTAGTCAAGAATCGGAAGGCAGACTACTGGATCGTTTCCGTGAAGTAAGTACTACTATTATAGATAATATTATTTGTATATGGCATGTTCAATTGAATACATAAACTGATTGGTTTAGAGGTTAGGTGATATCTGGAGAAAATAACTCTCAACAAGTTTATAAAATATTGACAGTCTTCAATTGAGATTGAACCGATTGAACAAATCAATCGGTGATTTCACTTAAGTCTCCCTTTTTAGTCGACTAACTTTGATTGGTTGATAAAAACATCCATGGACTTATTGTGCTTTTACTCACTAATCTTCAATTCTATTTTGAAAATGATTAACTGATATAACCCGGTGCCATATCTTGGTTTAACCGCCCCTATTGTTACACCGGAACATATCGCTCGTCAGTGATTGGCTATACGTAACACATGTCCTAATCATCTCAACTAGTGAAGGTTCATTACTTCATCAGTCGATTCTCCATCTCTATGTAGTATCTTATCCCTAAACCGAGTATTGCTTACTCAATGACTCTAGAATACACAATAATTGAATACTAGTAACCCGTGACTTGGTGACTAAAAGTTAAACGCCCTAACCACTAATTCATCTCATTAAAAAATCTATCTATCACTATTGAGTGTGATGTTTTTTTATACCATACTCGTTGTGTTTATTGCACATAAAGTTGTTTAACAGAAGTTATATGTTTTCAGATCGATCTCGATTAGAGTAGCATTATTATAGTGTCGTATCGTGTTTATAGTTTTGCTTACTGATTTAACAGAACCTTTGATTATGCTTCATCGTAGTTGTTGCCTCCGTCATGACCGCATGAATAAGCGATTATCGCTTGAAAAATTTAATTTTAGTCAGTCAGTCAGCCAGACGCAACGTAGAACTTTTCATATATAAGTACATCAGTTCATGTTGCCATACCAAATCAGCACAGACAGATGTAATTGTCAATTCAAATCCAGTAGTAGTAGAAGAGGTACTAAAGGTATCAGCAGTAATCGGAGAAGTTAGGATTAGAAGATATTCAAGAAATATAATTTAGTGAGATAAGTTTAGAAAGTCAAAACTAGAGTTGTTGAAGAACCCAGAAGATTAGGATTCGAGAGAACACAAAGAATAAATGCACCGGCGCCATTGCGAACGATTTCGAGCCATGTCATTCAGGATCTTTAACCATCGATTATTATCAATTTTAGTACTGCATCATACCCACCGACATCAGTTAAGTGGAGGTTGAATTTTGAGGTTTTAAAACCAATTTCATAAACAAATTGTACTGAGTTGTTGTTTTTACAATCACTTCAATGATTCTTTCTCATGCCTAGATGATTCTGGATATGATCTGTAATAGAAATGACACACCATTCCTTACTTCTTCATAGATATTCAGTGCTACCTGGATAGTGTGGATATTTTAAACCCTAACAAAAGTGCCTATTCACGAACAGGTTGTGAATAACTCACATCATATGAGTCCAGTTTCCTTTAAAAATTCGTCAAATATTTTAGTTCGATATGATTAGTCCGAAAGTTGCCGATCAACTAACTGTACACACCATTTGCCACTACTCGAATTAATTTTGGGTTATTTCTTAGTGGTCATATTTCACATTGGATTAGTGTGTAACGAAATCTCGACACGGATAGAGAAGGCTTGACTGGTTTTCGCCAACTTGTGTCACTTATAGCATAGGTGAGATATTCGTCTATTAACCAAAGGACGAGTCTACTGGGCAGCAGTTTGCTCCGTCCTACTATACGGGTGCGAAACAAGGTTAGTAAGAGTAGAGGATATTGATAGATTACTATTATTCGATCATTGGTGTCTCAGAAGGATTGCTCGTTTATACTTGGGATCATTGAGTAAAGGTGTACTACCAGATAAGGATGAGAGGTCGATTGATGAAGTAGTTAGTGAATCTTGATCAGTCCAATTGGTTGGGACATTTATTACGTGTGCCTAATAATTCACTGCCTCAACAAGTGATGTCTAATGTAATAGTTAGTAGGTTGGAAGAAAGCTAGATGCGTCTAAAGCAAAACATGGCACAAAGTCACTAACAGTTGAACTGAGCCATGTTAGTAGTAGGTATAGACTATTTGGTTGTGGTCTGCGAGACAATAATAACCTATGGTTAGAGACTTTAAATGGCATGGTTCAAAAATCTTCAGTTCACTGAGTTGGCGGCTTCTAACAGTGTTAATGTCTAATTTTAATCAATCTAATGTATTGTACAACTTCACACACACATTGTTTTCAGTAAATAAAACTGACTCACATTCAACATGGTTATGAGAGATCCACTGGTCACACGGTCCTTATATTTTTTTCCATGTACTACTGTAGTGAAGGAGAACACAGGTGAGGGCAACCGAATTGTATTTAACGAAAATTACAGAGAGTTACTCAGTAAAATTGGAAAACCATATCATAAATCGTTAATTTGCGCAAATCTTCAATCCATCATCAATCCATTGTCTGACATTTCACTCACTATTCATGCGTTTCATACAAATTCCATTTTGTTTCCACTCTTCCTTTCTTGTTGATCTTCCCCCATCTTCTGCTGCCAGATATTACGTTTACATTCACGTCATATACTACTTATAAGTAGCTCGCACCAAACT